ATAGTCGAGGCAATGAAGCACTAAAAAGGCCAAAAGTTCGGAATTTTTTCCATAAAGACGGATCGGAATGCGGTTTTTTGCATTCTCTTCCAAAAATTTTTTGTAAAAAATGTGGCTACTTTGTGTTTCTGACAAACCGGAAATTGCATTGCTGCAGCTAAAAATGCATTAAAAGAATGCATTTTATGAGACGCCTTTTGGAAGATTTCAAGACTTTGTAAATAAGAGTCAGAACTGGCCCAAATCGGGTACTCGGGGGTTTTCGAGGTCGCTGATCACGATTATGATGTTCAAATTGACCCCCCGAAGACTTGGAGCTCAGGAACGCCGATGAACTTCATCTCCGTGGGACTCTTCCACAAATCACGCGGGGAAGGAGAGAAACTCGGCGGCCGGGGGTTTTTTGGGTCGCTGAATTCAAATATGCCATCGTCGTACACCCCCGGACACCTGGTGCGGCCGAACCTGGACGTGGACGTCATCTCCGAGAATTTTCCTAACAAGATTGATAAAAACAACCCGAAAATCATTGTGGGGGCGTTTTTTGGGGCGCTTAATTCAAATTTCACATTCGAGAGTGATGAAAACGATGACGATGCTTTCGTAGACTGAAACCCTTGCCTATACTTACCTCTATCGGATATTTTTTAGTAATAATAAATTATATTAATTGACACATGTCGAGCCCCAGGGATTAAATCTATCTCCACTTTCAAAATTGCATATTATTTTTATTAAACCATACAATTCCTTAATGTTATTTATAATGTACACTAGATAAGAAACATTCATCATTCGCACTTTAAAAAAATGTGAGTGCCTAAATACTTTACCTTCTTCAATAACATTAACTTGTCCCTGCGGCGATAATCTGATAAGAATGTATACGTCAATATTAGAGTAGGTACGTACTTTGTGAAAAAATACAAATTGTTTAGTAGTACTCCACAGTTTGAAAGTAGAATAAATCAATAAGTATAGAAGGTATGTCTAACTACTAGTTTTTTGTTGCATTTTGATGTTATTAAATGTACCTTCATATTTTCAAAATCCTTAATTTAAGCACTTTTACTGAAATATGTGTCATGTATTTTAGATAGAAAAAAAATAGCATTTAGAAACGTCATTTCCTTTTTATTATGACCTATTAAAACGACTTATAACTGGTGACTTAGGTATGATAAATTTAGAAGTCAATAACAATGGCAGTGAAGTTAACTTCCCTTATATAATATAGCTGTTTAGTAAATTTAATGGCGCAAAAGCAAAAATGTGTACCGATTCCGTGGCAATCTTGACTTTATCCGTTGTGGATGGCCAGTAAACAAGCCAACATATTGTGCAAAACGTCAAAGCAAATATATGACCTATACATCACTGTAATTAGAAAAAGGAGAGGATTTCATAAAAGCGGCAAATATACAACGTGTTCCATAAAAAAAAACAAATGTTTGGTTTATGGGCAATTGTTCTTTTTTACATATTTCTTTGAAACTAAAAGAAAATTTCCTAAAACATTGGTCTTACCTTTTTTTTAGATAGAATGGTAAACCGGGAGTAGAATGTTATGCAAATAAAGGTAAATTTTAGTTATGAATGTCGCATCACATTTTGTTTTTTTTTTTTTTCATACTCACAGAATGCGAGAGCGCTAGTGTGAAAGTTTAATTTTTGTGACGGAATTTTAGCATTATAATTTTTGTTTTACATCTTTTTATTTAAATCTCTAGAACTATCGTTTTCATCTAAAAAGCTTTTTTTTAAAGACATACTTGTAAAATAAACTCACTTTCCTAGATTAACGGTAATAATCTACTAATTACACAAACCTAGAAATATTCTAGATTTATGACTAATTACGTCCATCGAAAACAAAACTGCTTCCATTTGAAGCGTTAAAATTTCCGACTGCGAATGTTACCAAATGACAGTCATATTCCATTCCTTAAAATTAAGAATTTCACGACTGTGAAAATTTACCTTTATGCACAGGGCATTACATTTTAATTATTTTGTCAATTTACCCCTGAAACGTCCGTCCCTTTTTCTAAAAAGTATGTTAATAGTATCTTATTTTTTCTTATTTTAACGAGTACTATTAGCGTTCAAAGCTTGACATGATGATTTTTACACTTTATAACATAAATAAATAATATAATATGTCAAATATTCATTTGTAGAGATCAGAAATGTTAGGGCGACTGCAATGTGGTACAGAGTTGGTTGTAGACCGGGTTCTCTTTTATGTAATTTTATTCAAACAAAAAGTGACACAACCATTGCCTTACTCTTTACATTATAAGAATATATAGTATCCCGGTGTGAACGTACAAAAATTTACCAGGGGGTAGACCAGATCAAAAAAAAATTAAAATTATTAAATATTTTTCTGCGATGCACTCTCACTGAGTTACAGGGTGTTGTTTAGAAAATGATAGTAACAACTTTCCGTAATAATTCAAAAACCCCTTCAGGGATTCAAGTAATTTTTGAGTGAAGTGTTCCTCTATTAAAGGTCATTAAAACTACATGGTGTTTATTTCGATCTGACGCCAGGAGCGGCCTAGGTCAACTTGTCCTCAAGGTTATGTGTTCGTAACTTTTGCATATCTTAGTTTTATGATATTTGATTAAGTTTTCCTGAATCTGCAATCAATTCTGAACAAAAATCGTGCTCTTGTTTCATAGCTCAAAAATGAACCGTTTTCGAGTAAATTGGTTTTAAAATATCGACTGCGTTAATTCGTGGAAAAATGCATGTAAAAATGTTATTTTTTGTTATCTAGTAGGTGCCTGTCATTATAAAAAAGTTGTTTACAAACGTACATGTCGAAATTAATTACAGTACTTGATAAATTATGTTTACAAAACAACAAGATATTAGGTATTATGGAATGCAGCCGCCGAGCAAATTCAAGCAACCGTTGATTTACGAAGGGTTTACAATTCCTTGGTCAAACGATGTCGGGCATGCATTGAAGTAAATGGGCAGCATTTCGAGCATTTATTGAAATAATTGTTTTCTATTTTCATTTTTAATATTGCCACTTTCCTAACATAATTTCGTTTCTGTTATATAATGTTCAATTTTATTTTTAGTTCCCCTATACGTAACCAAATAATAAATAATTCATAGAGAATTTATTTAGTTTCTTCATATTCATTGAGCCGCAACTAGATGGGAAACTGTATGGGTGCAGTTCTTTTCGGTTTAAAATTCTCCAGACGCTGCTTCGTGGAATACCTACTTGCGCTGATATTCTTCGGACACTGGTGGAAGGATTATTATCAACAACAGCACCTATTAGATTTTCTTCTAAAACTTTTGCATCTTCCAAATTACCTCTTATTTTAGTATTTCCAATTTTAACACTCCCGATCTCACGGACTCGTTGGAATACGTGCCGTGAAAATTGGCTTCTGTTTGGAAAACTGCGTAGATATTCTCGTCAATGAATTTTATCACAGAAACCGTAGATATGTAAATATCATATCGGCATATTCGTTGTTGGACAATTCCATAGTACCTACTTAATACCTTGTTGTTTTGTAAACTTAATTACTCTAACTTCGAGTACTGTAATTAATTTTAACATGTACGCTTGTAAACAATTTTGTTTTTTATAGTGTCAGGTACCTACTAGATACCAACAAATAAAATCTATACATGAATTTTTCTACGAATTAATGCAGTCGTTACATTAAACCCAATTTACTTGAAAACGGTTGATTTTTGAGGCATGAAACAAGAGCACATTTTTTATTCAGAATTAATTCAGGAAAACTTAATCAAATTACATAAAACTAGGATGTACAAAAGTTATGAAAGGGTTTTTTGAATTATTGCGGAAAGTTGTTACTATTTTTTTCTAAACAACACTGGAACTCTGTGAGATGAGAATTTTAATCTTATTTTGGTCTGGTTTGCCACCTGGTAAATTTTTGTACGTTCACACTGGGATATCCTGTAATTGTAAGTATTTGCAGAATAGTGTGAAACAAAAGGCAGTGCTTTCACATGGAACTTACCATAAAATAAAAGTCCGTGCAATATTTGTTGCGATAGAATTCCAAGAATAAGCCGATAAAGTTCTGTTATCAGACTGAGAATTAAATGCCTTTCTTTTATTTTTAACCTCCATTGATATATTTTAATAAGAAATTACACTGAAAATGCACGGGACGATACACTTACAAAGAAACACGCCTTTGTAACTGCAGAACACAATATGCACTGCAAGCTGCTACGGTGAACGCCACGCCGCCAATGTCTTTCTACTCGGGTGTTGAACGCGGTTAATTCCAAGAAAGTGACGCAGGGGTCTTCTTGGAATTCTATTGCAACAAATATCGTACAGACTGTAGGTATACTACGTAATAATAAGTACCAGCAAAGGTTAACAAAGTAATAATTTCTTACCCATAAGGAAAGCCCATATCTAAAATAGTTTTTAATGGATGCTATTTTTATTAATGGTATTATTAAAGCAACAACTACTTCACATTTCAGTAATCCACTAACAGCGTCATTGTATAATAACACGTAGTACGTGCCTGCCTCTGATGTCAAGCTTCGCATCGATCAATTTATTCGATAGGTATCTAGCGGCACCCTGTCGGCCTAGCGAGCCGATGAACAATCCCGTTTTTTTTGCTGAGAGACGTTAGCCGTGCATTTCATTGTCGTTTGTGCGTGTGTAAGTTTGACGCTTTGCTTGGTCGAGTGTACATCACGTACTTTTGTAGTCATTGTGAATATAGAGCGGCACACGATTTGACCACAGATTTAGCCTATGTCGGCTAGTACAACGCGTATTACCGCTTACTAGCATATAATATAGATTACTACTGTTTATTTACTTGATTGGCGCCACAAAGTTTCCTATGTCTATTCATTTGTTATTAACATTATAATTTAAGTCTTCCTTTTTTTCAGATTAAGCTCTCAGATGCAGTGTTTTATTGTGACTGGGTCCCTTATATTGGGAATTCTAGCAGTTACTCGATCGTCTCTCGCCGCTACGTGCACCATTACAACGTACAATGAGGACATCATTAAAGACGCACAAGCAAATTGCAGAGAAATCACTTTAAATGGAATAAATGTTCCAGCCGGAGTAACTTTAGATTTAAATTTGAATCAAGGCACCAAACTCACTTTCCAAGGGACGTTAACTTGGGAATTTTATGAATGGGACGGTCCGTTAATTAGGATCAGCGGTACAGATGTTGAAATCAATGGCGCCACGGATCACGTCCTTGACGTAAGAGGCAATCTATGGTGGGATGGTAAAGGTGGCGGTGGCGGCAAAACTAAGCCGATATTTTTCTCAGCAAACGGATTGAAAAATTCCATAATGCGTAACATACTTGTAAAAAATCCCGCCAACCATGCTATTTGGATCGAAGACAGCGACGGAGTTGTAGCTGAGGATATCTACATAGACAGTAAAGATGGAGATACTTTAGGTGGTCATAACACAGACGGTATTAACGTCTGGAGATCCAACAATGTTACTATTCAACGTCTTACAGTTTACAATCAAGACGATTGCGTTGCCATCAAATCTGGTACCAATATTTTAGTCAACGACGCCTACTGTTCGGGCGGTCATGGCCTATCTATTGGTTCTGTGGGTGGCAGAGATTACAATACTGTCGCAAATGTGCTAGTATCAAATTCACAGATTTTAGAATCGGACAATGGAGTAAGGATTAAAACAGTTTACGGGGCTACTGGGGCAGTTACCAATGTCACATACGAAAATATAATTTTAAAGGATATAAATAAATTTGGTATTGTCATCGAAGGCGATTATAATATAGATACTGGCAGTCCTACTGGAGTTGCTACTGATGGTATTCCAATTAAAACGTTTACAATGAAAAATATTACTGGCACTGTTAAAAAGTCTGGAGTTAATATCTACGTGCTGGTAAAAAGTGCCTCTGATTGGCACTGGTCTTCGATTGACGTAACTGGTGGAGGAAAAACTAAGAAATGCGAGGGTATTCCAGAAGGAGCCGGTGTTACGTGTTAATAACTTCCATATATACGATAATACGATACCAAACAGTATCATAAAAATTAAATTTCTTCAATTAATTGCTCTTTTATTACCCACCCGTTTTCCTAGTATCAGAAATAATTTTGGTATCATATGTGAATTTTAAGTAGGTATAAATATTCGAGTCAATATGTATTAAGATGACCCGTTTCATCGTCAGAATGAAGTAATTTTTGTTCTCAATGTCATCGATTTTAGTAAATAAAGACAAAAAATTAATAATAAAAAAGATACCATTTTTAATTATTTGCGAAGAATTATGTATTATATGTATATAATTCCACAGACAAAATAGCTATCGCCACAGACCGCTACTGGAATAGGCCGGCAGTTTTAAATTTCCGAATTGCCGGTAGAGTACACCACTAGCAGAATTTTAGGAAGAATCAAATGCAGCGGCCCGCATACCTACCCGTATCCTAGCAACGTATAAACAAGACTTTGGTAATGTTGCCAGGCGTACTTACGGATTTCTTTTGTACACTTTCTTATCAATATTTGTTTTTTGCGTTACTCTATTTACTTAAATGTATGATGTAGGTATTGATAGAAATGTTTTTAACGAATCAACGAATATCTATGTAGTTTCATATGATATTCTGCAGCGGTGTTACAATTAAGTTATTTAATCATAATTTCGTTAATTAGCTACCTACTATTTTCATTTTTTGGTATTGCAATACTGCAGAAAATATATTTCCAAACAAACAAAATTCGTAATAATATTTTAAACAGCTTGTAATATAATTTTTTTAATATTTGATGATGACGATACATTTATTTAATATACAAGGTGGGTACGTCGCGGACTATAGGTACAGTTTTTTTTTTGTATTTTGACATCCACTTACAGGTTTAATAATTAAAGATAGAAAGAAACTTTAAATACAAATGTACGACTTTTCCTTTATTTCATTTGACATCAAAATTTGCTGGCATAAAATATTATGTTTAAAATAAAAAAAATCATTAAAAAAAAAATTAAATTCATCCTTATGAAAATAACAAACTACGATTTTTATAACTAACCTTTACAACAACATAATGAGAATACCTAAAAACGAAATAACATTAATATACCTACAATTTTTACAAATCAACATGCAAGTGATTGTGATGATACAGTTGAAAATATGTTTTAATTTACTATTAATTGCTTCAAAAACAAATTCAAAATTATCAAGCATTTCGTTCTGTATTTTTCTTTCAATACTTGTAAATTTTCAAGTAAAAAAAAAATATGTCTAAAGGACTGACAATGAGATCGGGGCTGTTTTCTGGCCACCTAATAATATTTTTTAGTGTTCGTTGACGGGATTCTTCCTCCAAAGTAAATTTGCCAATATTCCTGAAGAACTTTTGCACATTATTGTTATTTGAATAATACAGTTAATTATGTTTTATTTTTCGTCATAAGAATAACTCATTGTATTTTTTTAAATTTTTTAAATTAAAATGGGTTATTCTAATAATGATAAATCCCATGTATTTTTAAAAGAAGGTTAGTTTCTGTCGTTTTTGTCTGATTGTGTGCGAGAGAGATAGAGTTATAGTGTGCGATAGAGATAGAGTGACTTTGTCCTCATAGAGAGCTTATCTCTTTTTTTCTCTCTCTCTCTCTCTCTGCTGTCTTCAGGAGTCTACCCAGCAATTTCAGGACACCTAGGGAGGGAGCGTGGGGTAGAGCGCGTGGCCTTTTTAGCCTTCGTTATCGATCTATGATGTCACACAGTATAAGAAAAAAAAACGCTTTTTGCTCGTAACTCGGAAATGGCTGGAAATATAAACAAATTTCCCCTTGGTTGAAAAAAAAAAACAGTATTTGCTTAGACTCTAAGTATCAAAAAATCTCCCATGGTGAACAAATAAATCTCCCATGGTGGACCAGTGAAAAACGTCAAAACCCGCATGTCAGAAAAAAAAAATCGGGAGCAATGGTGTGTGACATCATAGGATAAAAAAGTGTTTATAACTCGGAAACGGCGCGTTGAATCGAAAAAATAATTGAAAAATGTCAACCCCTCCCTCCTGGGTTCTTTATGTTCCTTCTGCGTTGAATGCAAAAGGTCCGAAGTCCGTATGTCGAAAATAAATTTTGGAAACAAGAGGTATGTCGTGTTATAGTAAAAAGGCCGTATAACTCGGAAACGGTGCGTAAAATCGAAAAAATAATTTAAAAATTCTCTCCACACCCCGTTGAATGGAAAAGGTCCGAAGTCCGTATGTGGAAAATAAATTTCGGAAAGAAGAGGTGTGTGAGGTGATACAGTAAAAAAGGTCTTATAATTCAGAAACGGTGCGTTGAATTGAAAAATAATTTAAAAAATCTCCCCACTATTCTGGTTCTGATTGTCCGTTCTGCGTTGAATGGAAACGGTCCGAAGTCAGTATGTCGAAAAACAAAAAAGTAAGTCAAAAATTGCAACAGCAGTAGCGAACGCATTATCTTATCTCTGTATTGATTGACGATTTGTTGTTTTCTTTTAAATAAATTTCGTATTCAACTACTCCTTGAGGTTCCAGCAATTTTACATGTGTTAATTTTTTTGAACACTTTGTGTCACAAATATGAGCACTACCAATGACATCCATGATATGCAACACTTGTGTCAATAATTATTTTACCTATCTAAAGAAATCAACAATAAGAGGCAGTACCCATCTAAGGATACACAACCTGTATAATGCAATTTTTTTAAACATAGGTGTTAATATCGTACCATATTGGAAGTCGACGCACAAATCTAAAAACATTAATTTCGAGTTTTTGAATTTTCCCATTCCAAGGTGATGTAAACTAAATAATTAATTAGGTAAATTAATAGTTTTAATTCTAACTTGATTTATTTTATTTAACATTTAAGGCAAATGTGATTTCCAAACACAAGATAAGTTCCTTATCTCTTTAATTACATAATTGAAAGCATTAAATTTATTTAGCAGTTATTATTTGGCAACAAAGCCACCGCTGGAACTGCTATTACCAAGTAGAAGAGTTACCACGCTAAATTTTATAGCTGGAAGCCGGCTAAGGAGACCCTGCTTCCATTTCGGGTTGCCAATTTGCACCATTTAAGTAGCAGTCTGTAGCGATACGCTATATTGTCTGTGATAATTCGATATATTTTATATAAAGGTAACCCTCCAATAGAAATTATATTGATCTGCATCAATTATCTTTTATTACATTTGCATATTTGTAATATTTTAAAAATGTTTTAATATCCTTTATTTCGAAATCTAGGCCATTTAGGTTATATGTACATAAAAACTTTTTATCCACAATCACCTTATAATCGGATTTTTATCCACACATAATATGGACCATCTAAAGGGATACTTTATCGACTAGTTGATTAAATTAACTTTATTTCACTAGTAGAATAATGAAAAAATAATAAACCTATAATAAATCAAATTTAATTTATTTACTTATTAACATTAACATATAATAGACATTTCGTTTTTTGTTTTATAACATTTAACTTCCTTTCCGTTAATAACAACCCTTGTAGCATTGTTGATATCATTTCCGGTACGCATAACATCTGCCGAGGTTTGTGAAGAATTTGCACAAGTTAGGGATGCCTCTTCTTGTAAGAAACAGCTTGGATTTTCCTTGCAATATCAAGTTTGTTAGATATAGACTGCTCAACATAACTTTCTGCTCTTCCATTCACCATGCCGTTTGATAGTTATAAGATCAGCACCTTTATGGCCAATAAAATTGTTGAGGTGGGCCAGTATATGATTCTGGATTTGCAATATCAAAAATGAAGCAACTGTTAAGGGTACCTTCGCCAGTGTGTTGTTTCCAACAGGCTGAGAAGCACATTTTTTATTGAAGTTCACTATATACCTAACAACATGTAAAAGGTAAAAAGATATTACCTTAACCATTAAATATTCTTTATCTGCTCCCACTATAGTAATACTATTAATATATTGTTTTTAAGGAGGTAAGTGGATTTTACCGTAGAAGTGGAAATTGGACAACAGGATGTAAGTGAGGTAACTTACCTCCCTAGGAAAAAAAGCGATTTCGAGTTAGAAATGCATATTTTATGGACAAATATATAGAAATATTTCATGAACATTACATTTTATTAATTATTATGAATGAATATTTATAGTAATTACATTTAGTAACATTTATAAAATCTGGATAATTATTCCCCTCGGGTTCACTAATTATCACATTTTTATCAAATTGATTTGACCGCTCCATTTCAGTCAAGGCTCAATATTATCTGACTGATCCATTAAGTTGAAGTATCATTATAAAGAATCCTGTTGGTTATTTCATTTTTATTACTTAAACAGTAACATAACTTTCTGCAATTGCGGCTGATTTCCACCCACCATGTTGATAGATCAAGTTCTGTATTAGCCAGTAACGTTGCCGATGTTCTTCGGAATGAAAGGCCTGTAAATATTTCAGGATGTTCTAATTTTAAAAACTGCAATTTTATTAGGAATCATAGAAAGGGTATTCTTGCCGACTGGTTGGTTGTAACATCTACCTGCTTGATAGTGCATAAAAAAGCGTGAAATTTCAGTTTTAATTTCCAATCTAGTCTTGATATATTTCTGGAGAATTTCTAGGTGAGAAACAGAACCCAGACGAGAAGTAATTGTAAACGTACGTGACATACCATTTTTAGAATCTGTAACTACAATAATGTCATCGAAATTATTTAAATTAATAATAATAATAATAATAATAAGTTTATTTACAAAAGTANAGAAGTCGGAGACTTGTGCGGGAGAGGAGGCGGCATATTATTATTAAGCAGGCCGCATTTGCGCCCAGGAACGACTTATGTTGGTAGGCCCTAACCACCATTCAGTGCAGGAATGAGGGAAACCTGGAAAACCTCATTAATTAGGGGGGTGGTCAAATGCCAACCGGTGTCAATCTCTCACATTGACCCAAGCCAACATACCTGCACAGAGGCTGCCAATCCTCCGTACAAGCATAGCTAATCTACGGTCTACCGGCCGCGGGATTCGAAACCCGGGCAGATAGCACACATCG